ATATACACACACACACACACACACACACACACACACACACACACACATATATATATATATATATATAGTGAAACCTTGAAGAGCCAGAACTTGATGGGATGGCTTTGTTCTTCCAGGTCTTGCAAGTTTTCTACCTTTGACAGGGTGCAGTCTTACCACTTTTTTAACACTCTCATTAAGAATCTTACCCCATAAACACCCAGAAAGTCTACCTTTTAAATTTTATAGGACTGGAAAAGACACTAAACCATTTTGTATGATTTTCATGTTTATTCAAATTATGTACAGATATGTGCATTTACTATTCAAAGAAAGATATGGGTAAAATTCACTTTTTAATAAAAACATCTAAAGTCAACTGTTTAGTCTGTTTTGGTTTTTTGATGAAATTATTGAAACAAATTTCTAAGTCCGTAGCCTTATAAAAAAATTCTTGGTCTTCTTTAACTTTTCCAAACTCCTTCAAAGCCTTTATATACCTGAAAACTTGTGTTTGACTTAAAGGTTCAGGCTCTTCTAATGGTAGATCTTCATCATCTTCATCATCATCATCTTTAGACTGCAAGTCCACAATTTCTTGCAGGTTTATGTCATCCATTTCTGTGGCAATTTCTTTGTCAATATCAATGTAAGATGCAGCGCTGACCCTATTTTCTGAAACACCACTATAAATGTCATTTATTGCATCCTGAATCTGCATGATGTTATCAGGCTCAATAACTGTTTCGTTTTGTATACTGTCACCACTGCCAAATAAGAAACCACAGTTCTTAAAGCATTTTCTTACAGTTTCTTCCTTAATCATTTTGACTGATCGCTTAAGGAATGAAATTGCATCAAGGACATCAATTTTCCCTGACATCTCTGATGCCATCTTGCACATCTCAATGTTGGCAATCACTTTTTGAAGCAAAAGCTTCCTGTAGTTTATTTTAATATTTTGGATAATGCCATTATCCAGAGGTTGTAGGACTGATGTTGTGGATGGTGGAAAAAATATTAACTTAATATTGGACAGTGGCAGTAACCTATGACAAGTAGCTTTGTCAATGAACAAAAGAATGCTTCGATTTTGTTTTTTCATGCTATTGTTAAGTTTATTTAAAAATTCTTCATAAATTGTGCCTGTCATCCAAGCTTTTTTATTCCATTTCCATTCTACTGAAAGCTGATTAATTTCAATATTCTTGAAGCACCGAGGTTTCTCGCTCTTTCCAATTACCCATGGTTTCTCAAATGTCCCATCTGCAAATGTGGTCAAGAGGATGGTGAGCCGCTCTTTTGAAAACTGACTCTGCGAGCATTTTTCCCCCTTCATTTTCAGGGTCCTATTAGGCATTGCCCTGTAAAACAGAGCAGTTTCATCAGCGTTCGCGATGTCTTTAGGATCATACCCCCTTATGATCTCTCTTAATTTTGTGAACCAGTTCTGAACGTCTTTGTCAACCTCATTTGACTCCTCACAAGCTACATGGTAAGTGATTCCATGTTTTTTTTTAAAGCTCTGTAGCCACCCATTAGATGCTGAGAACCCATCAACTTTTAAAAATTTTGCCGTTTCCTTTGCCTTTGCTTGTAGGATAGGTCCTGAAATGGGAACATTTTTGGCAGAGGCTTGAAGAAACCACTCAAAAACAGATTTGTTGATTTCTGCATAATTTCCATCCCTTTCTTTTTTGACATTTATGTTGGTGCTACTCATGTATTTTTCAATTATTTTATCCTTTTCTTTCATAATTGAGTAAATTTGTGTTTTGCCACACTTGAACTTAATTACAGCTTCCTTGACAGTCTTTTTCTCTTCAGTGATCATTTTGACAACGTCAAACTTTTCTTTCAGAGATAAATTTCTCACTCTCTTGTCCATGGCTGTGAAGGAATAAGCTTTTTTAAAAAAAGGAAACAAAAAAGGAAGTAAGTTCTTATAAAAATTAAGAAATTTATGATCTTATGTTCTTGAAAATGTGATTATCTCAGACAAAATGAAACTATCAACAGCATTATATGATAAAATTAGCACACTTCAGTAAAATATTTAAGAAAAAAAGACATGTGAGAAGAAAGCTTTTGCTTCTGTACACACGTTGAATGTGTTAAGTGAGAAAATCCTTCCCTATGTTTTAGGCAAAACAAGAAATTTTGAAGGAAAGAATTTCAAGGAAACGATGGAGTGGATTTTGAAAACTGTAATAATGTGTATCAAAACTGTAAATAGCTAAAGTGAAAACTAAAAATTAAAGAAGAGTAAAACCTCTCAAGGCAAGGGGAAAAAGTGTGCTTTGCTAGATTTTAATGAAAATAAAGGAATTTTTTTACAGTGAAACCAGTGAAAGCCGGAATTCAATGGGACTGCCTTGTTTCTTTGGGTATCACAAGTAAGTATCCTGCCTTTGACAAGGTGCAGTCTTAAAAAAAAAACCTTTGCTGTCGAGTCAGACCCGACTCATAGCAACCTGTCTTTGGGTTTCCGAGGTCGTATCACTACGGAAGTAGATTGCCCAACCTTCCTTTCGAGGAGTGGCTGTACTTATCACTTTGTTATTGCTCGTTTTAGTGGAAAATATTTGAGTTTTCCTTCTTTGACAGGTTTCCGCCTCACACAGGTTCCGGCTTTAACAGGTTTTACCATAGTATCTCTTACCTTCTTCCACACTTATGGATGTTATTCTTCACTGGAAAAAATTTGTAGGCCAAAAACAAAAACCCCACAGAAAGGCAAAAATATAAAGAATAGATGTACTTGGAGAACAGCAGTGATGTGCGCACTCATACACAGCAACACTGCAAAAGGAAGCAGAAGACTAAGCTTTCATCTCTGATTCTTGTATTTCTTGGAACTATTTCCGGCTTTCACATCTGCACCTCCTTGTGTCTGAGCTGCAATGCCAATGATTTTCTGATTCCATCCTTGTCTTGCTGGTTCCAGTTTCCAGGGAATATTTATTAGGCTGAAGTAATCATTTTAGTGGAAAATATTTGAGTTTTCCTTCTCTAATACATTTCCAACTTACACAGGTTCCGACTTTTGCAAGTATGTATGCTTATGTGCGTGTGTGTATGTACACACATACACATACACATATATAAATCTCCAATGAACCTGAGCTTACTTTATGCTTTCTGCACCAGGACTATATTCCTAGAGAAGCCAAAGAGGCAAGAAGATGGAAAAGAAAGATCCCAGATTCCACTCAAGCCTAAATTCAAAGGCCTCAGGCTGTGAGCAAAGAAAAGCTAAGAACAATTTCAATCTCCACATTTTGACAAGATCCTTCCTTGGTCTTCAGCTATACAGACAGACATCAGGCATATGTGGCAGGGCAGTCAATGTTCTTATTAGCATGGAAGTACTACAAGACTGCTGTGTAGCTAAATTCTCCAAAACCATTTCTATAAGACATTCATATCCTATAAATGCAAACTAAACTCCTCACTGTTGTTTTTTTTATTTATTTTGACATCATTATGACCATCAAAACTCACAATGAAGGATAACCACTGTGGGAAATTATCATTAGAAGCCTTATCTCACATTCTTGCTCTAGGGCCTCATTTTAATTTACTGTCATTGAAGGAATTTAGAGTACCATAGGCAAGAAAACCCTAGAGAGAATTTTATTCATAAATAGATGCCAACACTTAAATAATCAAGACAGCTTCAAACTCCAGGACTATTGAAATGAACAATACATACTGCCTGGATGATTTATTATGGTTGTGTTTATAGTCCAAATGGGAAGATAATTCAATTCTACCTCAAGTGTCATTCTATGGCCAAACCCAAGAGAAGTGCTTTGGATAAGAGGTGATATTTCTCAGTTTTTCCATTTCAAACAAATTATTATTTCTGTATTTAAGACATCACCCACACAATTCCCTTCATGACTTGTAGCACTCTTGAGCAATTAAAATATATATTTAAGATTGAAGAAGGGACAAATGCCAAACTCAAAAATGATTCACAGAACACTGAAGAGCCCCAGAGAGCACTGATGTCTCAGACATAAGGTGAAAGTAATCTCTCTGCTGAGAAAATTTAAATGAGCAGTGAGCATGCATCACAGCAAGAGCGTTATTACCCAGCAGAGACAACTCGCTAAACACAAATTTCATCTCCAAACAAGCCTCCTAACAGGAGACGTGAGCAAAAAGGTCCCTCATGATGAGATGGAGAAACACCAGTTGGCATAATGTCTTAACTGTGGCACAAGGCAGCGTTCTCTTTCATTCCCTTGCCACATGCTGACATCAATCAGGGAGGAGAAGAGTCTGTTTGTAATACATTATTTGATTTGGGAGACTTTGTGGCAGAGCTGGCGAGGGCAGAGAAGCCTTGGCCCATTAAGTCAGCCCCCAAACCCTGCCTTACATACCATCCAGGCCATTGTGATGACTGTAGTTTCTTTTCCCCAGAATGCTCAGAGCCATGTGATTCGGGGTGGTTAGCATTCGCTTGGTAGTTGGGGTTTGCAGGCTTGGTGTAGATCGGATTACATTAGGTTTCTTCGCAGGATGGATCTCTGACAGGGGGAAAAAGGTTTTTTTAACTCAGAACATGGTATTAGAAGTCTCTGTTTGCACTTACATTTACTAATAGACACACATCTTATTTAATGAGCTAAGTCAATTCCTTAGGAGCTGGCATGTTTTCCCAAGGACTTGGATAATGAATCAGCTTCAAGTGTTGTTACCATGGCTTTACTTATCAAAAGAGAGCTAGTTCTTCCCCTGATGGCTGGAGCTCAGAGCCTTCTGTTGTGAGTACAAGCAAAAAAAAAAAAAAAAAAGGCACTTCAGAAGGTCACTCAGAACATGAGTTTTACTAAGATGATAAGGGATCTGATTCTTCAAGTTATTAGAAATCAAGAAATTATCTGGAGAGGTAGCCTCTGTGCTCTGTCAAACCAGGAATAAGCAACATGTCTGGTGTGTGGAAAACAGGATTCCCTCTCTGGCTCTGCAACCAGGGTGTGGGACCAGGGTCAATCACTCCCAACCCAGAACATTTAGGTATAGATGATATCTGAGACCAAAGTCCAAAAACAACAGTCAAGAGGTAGCACAAGAAAAGCTTTGACTAAAGATACACCACAAAACTGCAATGTGTATACGGTATATGGATGTGTTTAAGAGAAGCATATTGTTGTCGGGCATGTACCCCAAGAACTACCTGCACCTTTTGGATAGACAGACAGAAATCGCAATACTGTAAGAAATGGATGTACTTAAGGACCCCAGTGTTACTATCACCGAGCCATCTCTTCTCCAAAGCTTACCCTACTCACTGCTTCTCTGCACTGTCACCCAACACTCCAACTGAGTACAAGCTACCCTGTCTGTCCTTTCACCCTCCCCTCCAAGGTGAGGGCCAGGATATTAGCCAATTTTGGTAAACTTTAGGGAAAGCTGTTAGGATTGTTAGCATTAACTAGATTTTGGTCTGGTCAAAATCCCATGTTTGCCGGAATTTAGAAATGGGTCAAGTACTACCAAAAACAGTTATTTTAACATGGCATGGAAAGTTTGCCAACTTTATCTTTCATTACAACTTCCACACCCTAGGCTCCATCCAAACAAGACAATTTGCTTCCCTTGAAACTTAACTTGTCAGGTCCTTGGATTCAATGGAGCCTTTGTTCATCTGGTTCTTGTGGCCTCCTGTGAACAGAAAATACTCTTTTCCTATTTTTCCACCTATTCCAATTTTACTCTTCTTTCAGGGCCAAGCTCAAATAATACCTTCTTCAGGTAAGCTGCTCTAATGTACTCATCAAAAATAACTATTCCTTGCTCTAAGAGGCCAATGCAAATTCCCTTAAATTATTTTATAGATTTAATCATTTGCCTTGTAGTTCTTACCTATGTTCTTTCCCCACTACACTGTAAGATTTTTGAAGGCCAGGTTTATTCATCTCAGTGTCTCACAATCAGTGAGTAGAGTGTCTTATACATAGTAAATACCCAGAGGCGTGTTTGTACGGGTGTGATTCTGCTAGTAAGGACAGCACAATGTTGGGCTTATCTGGTAGGGGCAGAGATCACTTTCCCCACAGGAGGAACACATAATTACCCATGGGAAGACTGATTAATATGCAATATTATATTCTATCTTTTATGATCAAAACCTTTCCCTTTTAGGGTGGACAGATTTCTAGGAGTAGGTCCTGCAAGGGCACAGACAGCAATCTTCAAGGATTTTACCATTATGATCTAGAGGTCATGCCGACAATTGTGTGACATTTTCTGGGGATATCAAAGTAACTGTAGCTCCTGAGGAATAAAACAAGAAATGAGGTGGCAGAGTAACTGCAAAGGAGGAGCTCTGCAAAGGGATGCTTTGCTGAGAACCAGACCAAGTTCAAGGCTACACTTTGATTTTTAAAAGACTGGATGTCTAAAGTCTGAACAACTCATAACTACAAATCTTTCTGACAGAGCAATAAGGCTCAATGCAATGCTGAGTACATATTTCACTTTTACTGAGAAAATGAAAAAGCAAAAAATATTAAAAGCACAAGAACATGTCATTCTTTCTTCTAAGTGTATTAGGAACTATTATTCTGTAAATTATTTATCTTGAAATTCTGCAAAAAAAAAAAAAAAAAAAAAGGTTACTGCCAGGTAGTCTTCTAGTATTTTATCCTTAATTGTAGGATTTCAACATTAAATGGAACCATAATAAAACCAAAATGTGATACAAATACCCCTCTTTCAAAGTAATCTTAATAGGCACACCAAAACAATACATATTTTTCAAAAGGCAGATTAAAGATAATTTCAGTCTTACCATGATGAATATATTTAATGTCACTGAAGTGTATATGTGAAGACTGTTGAAATGACAAGTGTTTTGCTACCTATATATCT